TCCATGTCGCCTGGGTCATCGCCCGTCGCCTCCATGTCGCCTGGGTCATCGCCCGTCGCCTCCATGTCGCCTGGGTCATCGCCCGTCGCCTCCATGTCGCCTGGGTCATCGCCCGTCGCCTCCATGTCGCCTGGGTCATCGCCCGTCGCCTCCATGTCGCCTGGGTCATCGCCCGTCGCCTCCATGTCGCCTGGGTCGACTGCCGTCGCCTCCATGTCGCCTGGGTCGGCTGCCGTCGCCTCTTCATCCCCTCTGTCACCTGTGTTCGCCGTTGCCAAGGCTCCTGCTCCGCCAACCTCCGATGGCTCCTCATCGGCTCCTTCCTCCTCCCTTGGCTCCATGTCTACTCCCGCCTCCTCCCTTGGCTCCACGTCTGCTCCCACCACCTCCCTTGGCTCCATGTCTGCTCCCGCCTCCTCCCTTGGCTCCACATCTGCTCCTGCCTCCTCCCTTGGCTCCACATCTGCTCCTGCCTCCTCCCTTGGCTCCACATCTGCTCCTGCCTCCTCCCTTGGCTCCATGTCTGCTCCTGCCTCCTCCCTTGGCCCCTCGTCTGCGCCCACCCCTCTCCTGTGGTGTTGTATTTACTACGCTTCCTGCTGGGCCTCGTGCGGTGGCGGGGGCACTCTCTGGACAGTTTTCTGGACGTCCCCCTGGACTTCTGTGTTTTTTATCCCGAGTTCCCCTGTCTCGTGTTTATGTTCCTCATGTCCCATGCCTCTCCTTTTTCGACGTCGGGAGCTGTYGTTAAGAGGGTGGTACTGTCATAGTCTGTATTCATTCTCCKTGGTATTCCTAGTGTTTTCTATGTTCCCCAGTGTGTCTCTGCCCAGCTGCTCCTTATTAGTCTGATTGTCACCCTTGTGTTTCTCCTGAGGTGTTTTCTGTTTAGTTATTAGTTGTCAGTGTATTTAAGCCCTGTCCTGTTTCAGTCTTGTGTCRGATCATTGTTGTGTTTTGTTCTTGAGCTTTGTCTCCCTCGTGCCTGTGTCTTTGAGAACCTGTAAGTGATTTTTGAGCTACCTCAACAGCATTTTCGGTTATTTAATAAATCTTTTTGTTCCTTTTTGAACCTGCCTGCGCCCTGGGTCCGTTCCTCCACCTATCCTGATACAACCTTATTGTTGCAAAACATAATGATGGCATCGGTTACAGAAGAATGTCTAAACTTCTGAAGGTTCCAGTGAGCACTGTTGGGGCCATAATTCAGAAGTGGAAAGAACATHRTTTCACCATAAACCGACCACGACCAGGTGCTCCTCACAAGATTTCTGACAGAGGAGTGAAAAGAATGATCAGAAGAGTTGTCCAAGAGCCAAGRACCACTTGTGGAGAGCTTCAGAAAGACCTGGAATTAGCAGGTATGATTGTTTCAAAGATAACAATAAGGAATGCACTGAACCGCCATGGCCTGTATGCACGCTCACCACGCAAGACTCCACTGCTGAAGAAACAGCATGTTGAAGCTCCTTTAAAGTTTGCTGCACAACATTTAAACAAGCCTGTGAAATACTGGGAGAATATAGTCTGGTCAGATGAGACCAACATTGAACTGTTTGGATGCCATAATACACATCATGTTTGGAGGTCAAATGGCACTGCAYATCAGCCCAAAAACACCATACCAACAGTGAAGTTTGGAGGTGGGAACATCATGGTGTGGTGCTGTTTTTCAGCATACGGTACTGGCAAACTTCAAATAATTGAAGGAAGGATGAGTGGAAAAATGTACAGAGACATTCTTGATAAAAATCTGCTTCCATCTACCAGGATGATGAAGATGAAACRTGGCTGGACATTTCAGCAAGACAATGAGCCCAAACACAAAGCCAAGGAAACTCTCAGTTGGTTTCAGAGAAAGAAACTAAAGCTGCTGGAATGGCCCAGCCAATCACCTGACCTGAATCCAACAGAAAATCTATGGAAAGAACTAAAGATCAGAGTTCATAGAAGAACCTTCAAGATTTGAAGACTGTTTGTGTGGAAGAATTGGCCAAAATCACACCTGAGCAATGCATGCMACTAGTTTCTCCATACAGGAGGTGTTTTGAAGCTGTCATTACCAACAAAGGCTTTTGAACAAAGTATTAGATACATTTCAGTAAGCGTGTTCAATACTTTTTCAGTGTGCCATTCCACATTATTACAAAAACTTCATTTCTGGACATTTATGGTTTGATTTCTTTATATGAATGGATCACTTGGGTTGTTACTGACATCTGGTGAAAATTTCATGTCATTAGCGCCTCTAGTAATATATTTACTGAGAAAAATGGTGACGTGTTCAATACTTATTTTACCCGCTGTATGATGGTAATTCAGATTTTTGGGCGGGCTTTTGTGAATCAATCTTTGAGTAACCTCAGTTTGCAAAAGCAGTTTAACTCTGACCAAAATGGTGAGGTAATGGCTAGTC